CAGACTCCTCTTTTGGACACAGCTGTCAGCTGCGCTCCTTGCACCTTGCATCGGCAAGTCCCTTTTCAGATTGCTTTGGGCTGCATTGGGTGTGGGATGGGAGGATGTCTGGGTCTGGGAACTTTGATGGAGGAGGATGGGGAGATTTCCACTTCTTTAAAAACAGTTCCTTCTGGGAAAGTATCTGGTTCCCATCTGAGATGTGGGGTGGGACTTGCTTTTTATTGGGGAAAGGAGAAAACAAGTTCTTTCCCAAGGGTCGCCTCCTTTCAGAGGGCTTAAATGGGTGAGTGAGCACCCCACCCCCAGCCCACTCTGTCTGTGGAGCTGGGAGTTTGTCAGGCTGATGCCAGGTAGAGTGTTTTGCACACATGCTGTTATCTATAAAACAAAAACAAGAAAATATTGGAGGGTACCTGGCAATGGGGTGGAAGATGAGGGCAAGTCTCTGTAAGGGACAGAAGAAAAGAAGGAAGGCCCTGAGGGATAAATCCACAGATGCCAAATCCAGTTTGGGGCTTGGTAGTAGTGCATGGGGAGGATGGCATCTCCAAAGGGCTTCAGGGGCTGATGGGTTTGGGCAAGACAACAGTGAACCTTGAAACTGTGTTGAGTTTAGCCCCTGCAGGCTCTAGAGAGGCAGAGTCCCTATCACCAGGGTGACTAGCACAGCCTGGACAGCTGGGGTCCAGCTCCTTTCTCAAGAGTCAGGGCACACTCATGGCGTGTCCTCTAAACTGTCCTTGAATTCTGGGCAGCGAAGTGCTACAGCTGGCCTTGTGGAGCCTGTTCTGGATGAGTGTTTAGAGTGGCAGAAGGGTGGGCAAAGTCATTGAAAGGAATGTGGGGTGAGGACAAGGTGGGATCCAGGGCCAAGAGGGACTCTCATAATAGGGGGTCACAGCCCTTTAGAAGATCCTGAGCAGGACCTGTTGTCCCAGGGCTTTTATAGGCAAGGAACTTGGCCTGTCTTAGGCAGGATACAGAAGGGCCTTAAAACAAAATGGAGCCAGCGCGGGACTCTGGAAAAGATGGAGAGATCTGTGAGCTGAGCTTCCTAAGGGCTCCTTGGGGCTCGCAGAAGCAGGCAGAGCTAAGAGCATAGAGAACTCTGAGGTCCTTCCAACTACCCTATCCCCAGTCAGCTGAGGGATGCCAGGTTAACTCTGTTAGTACAAGTGCCCAGCCCTGCTTCCCACTTACCTCAGGGGTGGGGGGGGGGCTGAAGAAAGAAAAGGGTTTAGGGCAAGGAAAATGAAGCATCAGTTGAAAAAAATCAGGGTCCAAACTATGCAAATTAAGTCTAAAATCCAGAATTCCCTTATTCAACAGGGGGTATCCTGGCTCAGGGGATGCGTTTCCTTGCTGATAGAGGCAATGGGACAAAACAAGGGACAGTTTTCTCATCAATACAATATGCAAATCTGATCTCCAAGAACAGTATTACCTCACAGCAACTGTGTGGGATGAAATCAAATAATAGCTGCCGAAGGCATCTATTATTCAGGACTACACACAAAAAGAGGCCTGGGAGGGGCGCTGTCCTCATTACTTTGTGTTTAGGAAGCTGGGGACAGACATCTGTTCTGGTAGCTCTGTATAGCTCTGTGTCCTGGGGACAGAGAGCTGTCTGTAGTTCCCAGTAGGTAGTTCTGTGTCCTGGTGAGGACTGGGCCTTGAGGCAGACCTGTGCCTGCACAGGGGCTTCTTGTGCCCGAGGGGAATAGGCATTGCCCACTGTCTGTAGGTTCCAAAGTACCTGAGGCTTGCCCTTCATATTCTTCCAGCCCCTTCTACCAAGCCTTGCAAAAGCTACCCAGGCAGAATTCCCCTTGACCCAATGTCCCGTGACTGAGGTTCCAGTCTGCCCTGGCTGATTTTAAAGTGCCCAGAGTGCTCTGGGTACACGCCAGGCAAGCCAAAAGCCCAGGTTTTCCAGCACTGAAGGCAAGAGTTGAAGCACTGGCTGTACCTGGGATGAGCTCAAAGTTTGTGGGAAGGTGGTCCTGAGAGTAGCAACACCAGCCCGGAAGGGGAGGGTGAGTACCTGGGAGCAGACGGGGTCATTTTAAGTCCCAGGTGAGATTAGTATTATGACCTAGAGCCCTTTTCTGTCCCAGGAACCTTGTGGGTTAAGCCCTAGCTTTGGGACAGTCCAAAATACTTTATGTTTGTACTAGGTCTGGGGTCAGAGACAGGTGGATCAGTGACCAGGACTAAAGGTCAGTATGGGATTAGGGTCATAAGTCTGTTTTACGGTGGGATTATGGATCAGGCTAAGGTATGGACAAGGCTTCTGTCTGGGGCCAGGGTCAGAAGTCCACCTCAGGGACCAACCAACTATCCCTCTAATGGGTGTGACCAGCAAAGGTGGCTGCTAGCCTTTATTTATGCAGCATGTGTTTCTTTCTTCTCTTCAGTAGCCTTTGGCACTTGAAGAAAGATGCTTCCCATTAGTAAATGCAGCTGTTGCTGTGGGGTTGTGTGTCCCTGTGGACATTTCCTAGCACCCCACTTGGCAGCTGGGCAGCAAGCATGCTCCCCCTCTGCCCCCACTCCACCCTTGAGTAGGAAGAAAGGTCAGACAAGGGAGAGCAAAAGAGCCCCTATGGCAAGCCACAGTGACTAAGGAAATGGAAGGGGGCACTTCTGGCCCCCAGAGTGAGCAGGTCCTATGGCTTGGGTTTGGTGGCTCAGAAGGGGACATTTTGTGATTGTGGACAAAGATCTTGCATATGTACTGTTCTGTGGGATCAGTACCTGCTAATGCAGCCTCATTGTGTACCTGTGAGTGGCTGCTCATGTCCATCTGCCCATAGATGGATGTCCCACAGTGGGTCCCCCATGGTCATTACCTGTTTCATCACCTGGAGGGGGGATAGTGCTGAGAACCTGGCTATGCTTTTGGGTCTCCTCAGGATATCGGGGCCTCAGTGGTTACCCCCAAGGCCCCCTGTACCCCATGTGGTCCTCGGAGGGAACCGGGTAGCCCTGGTCTCACTGCTCCTGATTGCCAATTCCAGATTTGAGAGCCCTGCAAATTTTCCTCGAGGACACTCCCCAGTTCTCTATTTCTAGGGCCACGGTGATTCTGACAGTTCTGTGTGTGGGTGAGTGGGGAAGCCTGGGGCCTCTTGCTTGAGGACTCTTCTGTTGGCCCTTGGAGCTGGTTTTCAGTTAAGAAAAGGGATTAGGGGAGAGACGGCTGGGATCGCTTTCCCTGGCGCTGTAGTACTATAACTGTCCACTAGGTGGGGTTCCAGGGCAGAGAGTGAGAGAGGAGCTGACCCAGCACCAGCAGCCAGAGCCTGGCGTGGAGAGCTTGGCTGGCCGCCACAGCCTCTGTAGCGCTAGTCCAGCAAGGGACAGCATAAATGCATGCATCTTAGATGCTCTCGCACATTCTCTGCTAGTAAGCTCTCAAGTAGAACCCTTACTGTGTACAAGCGACTATTAACAGGATGGATTAATTTCATTTACATGCATGGCACCCTAAACCAAAGGTGGGATGTCTGGGAGTGATTTATTATTATTATTATTATTATTATTATTATTATTACTATTATTATTATTATTATTATTATTAATTTGCTCTGAGAATGCGAGAATGAACAAGAAGGCAAGAGGGCTGGGGAAAACAGGATGCACTGGAGAGGGAGAGCCACGAACTACCTAAGGAGATGTAGGGGCTGGTGTGCACAGTTTGGTCCCAGGCGCTCAGGAGAGGGCATATGACAGGCAGGTCCACCGATGCACAGACACATATGGCTCCGGAGAGAAGCCCCAAACGTACAGACACCCACTTCCACAGACTTTGGGTCTAGGCAAGGCAAGCGCATACGCAGGTGCGGCTCTGGGCCACAAGCGCACACCTCACTCAGGCACTTGCTCAGGGCCTTCTGTACCCAGCTTTGAGTAGGTGGCGCGCTCATGGGCAGGTTATTTATTCGCACGTATCAATGAACGTTTGTACACGACTCCTACTTACCGTCTCTGGGTGCAGGGACTACCGCGTTTGTCCCTGGTGCTGGACTGTCTCCTGGACAAGCATTGCAGTTAGTACAACGCTAGCGACGGACTTGTACTACAACCTGTGTGTGTGTGTGTGTTGGGGGCGTCTCAGGGGCGTCTGCAGCTCAGGACACGCACATGGGTCAGGGGCCCCTCCATGCCCTCTGGGGTAAGAGACCTGGGGATTGAAGCTCGGGGACACAGACATCAAGAATGGGGACCCAGGCTAGAGACAACTGGGAGTTCTAGGAGGTAGGAGGCAGGTTCCGTGCGCTGGGCACAGCTTCAGGGACTTCTGGCAACCCCCAATGGAGGGGGGCAGGCAGTAGGACCAGGACCTCCAGTTCCCGACTGCTGGAAGCAGAAGGAGGGGTCTCGGCACCCGGGAGGGAGAAAAAGGAGGGAAGTAGCTTAGGAGCCAAGCCCGCACCAGGAGAATGCGCACGGTGAGTGTGTGCGCGCCCGAGCGTGTGCGCGCGTGTATCTCCTCTCGTCCGTCTGTAGGTGCGGGGCTCCAAGACGCAGGCGAGAAGGAAGAGGAGGCGCGAGGTGAACTGAGTTTGATCCTGCGGCGGCTACAAGTGGGTCCCCGGCGGGCCGGGGCGGGGCGGGAGGCCGGCGGGCGCTCACACGCTCCGGCAGCGGGCCGGCCTCTCACCACGCCTCCCGCTTTGTGAGCGCGCCCAGGGGGGGTGCTGGCCGCGCGCCCACGGCGCAGCCTCCCGCCTCTATATAAACACACGCATCGCCTAGCCTTGGATCAAATCAGATTGAGAGACGCTTTTCAAACCACCAGCCCTGAAGTCCTGCCTCCTGCTTCTCTCTTTCATCCCTTTTTGCCTTTCTTTCTTTTTTTTCCTCCTTCTTTTCTCCCGTCCCCCCGCCCCCCCCCCCAACAGCAACTCCAGAGCCAAGAGACTACGTCCTGGGACAGACTGCCTTTTCTTAATTGATACGATTGCCCAGCTCGGGTTTTCCACCTCCTCCCCTCTGGGGCTTGGTCGCCGGTTGCGTCCCTTCCCGACCGCAGCCCGCCGACTCCGCACCCGCGCTCGGGCCACCGCGCCGGCCTCGCCGCCGCTCCCGCCTCGAGGTGCCGCACCCGCTCCGGGGCTCGGGCCGCTGCACTCGCCTCATCTGGGGAGCCCTCTCCCTCGCCCCCAAAGTTTTTGGGTTCGTTGGAATTTTTGGATTCCGATTTTTTTTTTGCACCTAGGAATTTGGAATACTTTTGTAAATTGATCGCACTTTCTCTTCGCTAGCTCTCTGTTCCCCTCCTCTTTTTTTTGTTACCCCTGCTTCAAGCAGGGGCTTCCAAGAGGCTTCTGGTGGATAAAGTTTTCCAAAGTTTTCGAGTGTGGTGGTTGCAGGGAGAACAAGCCCATCATCATCTTGACTTGTCTCCTCACCACTCGGAAAGCAGCCCTAAGCCCGCGTAAAGGAACAAACAAACAAACAAAGTTACACCTCGAGTCGCCTCCTGTCTTCTCTCCCTTCTTCTAGGCAATCTTTTTCCTCCCTCTCTTTGCTCACCTCCCATCCTCCAGGTCCCTTCCCTCCGCCTCATATTCCTCCTTTGGGTTTCGCCGAAAGGTGCCCGGACCCCTGGCAGCAGCCTCCCCTCCCCCGCCACTCTAGACAGGCCCTCCCCTCCCCCGTCCCGGCCAGCACAGCCAATCCCCCGTGCGGCCGCCAACATGCTCTTTGAGGGCTTGGAGCTGGTGTCGGCGCTGGCCACCCTCGCCGCGTGCCTGGTGTCGGTGACGCTGCTGCTGGCCGTGTCGCAGCAGCTGTGGCAGCTGCGCTGGGCTGCTACCCGAGACAAGAGCTGCAAGCTGCCGATCCCCAAAGGTTCCATGGGATTCCCGCTCATCGGAGAGACCGGCCACTGGCTGCTCCAGGTAAGCGCGCGCGGGACCCGCTGCTGCTGGGGTCCGCTAGTTGCGGGCGCAGAGATTGTGGAGCCTTGGCCGGGCCAGGGGGCGCCGGCAGATCCGAGGCTCGGGTCCCCGCCCCTTCCTTGCCTCTGCTCGCGCCGCCGGCTTTCCCTGGCATGCCTGCGGCTCGGCTAGAAGACCACTGACGCCGGGTGAGGGGGTTCAGGAGGCCGATGGAGGGGATCCGGAATTAGAGGGAGTTCCCAAATCAGATGCGCCTCGATCGTGGGCGCCCAAAGGGGTGCGTATAGAGTTTTGGGGGACAAGTCAAAAGGGGCGTCGGATGGCTTTTCCCTGGGTTTCATGTTCCGGGCCCCAGTCTCTGCTCTGTCCTGCGTTTTCACTGTGTTACTGGGAGGCGGAGGAGGAGGGTGCCGGTGACAGCTTGAATGGCCCCCTTTAGGACCATCGCTGCATCCTGCAGTGTGGGGTATCCTACCCAGGTACAGCTGTGAGGGTCCGCGGTGCTCAGAACTCGTGTGTGTGTGTGTGTGTGTGTGTGTGTCTGTCTGTCTGTCTGTCTGTCCGTCTGTGTCTTGTGGTGGGAGAGGAAGATGATAACCCTAGGGAAACCTCAGCAAGAGAGCTGAGTGAGTGCCCTCAGCTTTGGGGGGGGGTCTGTTTGCTTTCTGGGTGAGTACAGTTTAGCTAAGGAAACTGGGAGAGGTATGTGAGAGATCCAGAGTGTATGCTGCTAGACGACACACTAGCCTACTCTGTGACAATTCGGGCAGGGCGCGTCGAGGACCAGACCCAGGTAGGTGCAAACAGATTAGCCTGGAATTAACCCCCTCTGACGCTAGACAATCAATGGCTTCTGCAATTTGATACACCCCAGGTTTGGGGGGGCACCTCTGGGATAGCCGTGGGAGGTGTGTTTGGGTATGCATATGTGTGCGTGTTTGTCCAACGGTAGCTCACCGACCTTAGAGGCAGCTTGGATATGCTGAAACAGACAATCCAGCACTCGAAAGGTAACATGAAAGGTGAGAGTGGGGACCTGTGGGTTTAGACAGGCGAAAGCTTGGTTTGAAATTAACAGACGCGTGCAGTCTGTGCGTGCCAGCACACAAAAACACACCCCACCACGCTCCGCCACAGGCCGAGTGGCAGGGGAGCAGGGCAGAGAGACTCCGAGGTTGCCCCCACCCCCCACCTGGGTCTTTCTAAGTCTTCAGAGTTGGTCCATCTCCTTTGGGGGGGGGTGCTTCTCCAATGGGGTGGGGTTCACTTCGACTAATCGGACGAGCCCTAGAAAAAGACATCTGCCTGTTTCTTGTCTCCACATTTAAAGGGTTAACTGTGGCAGTGGTTCAGGCTTCGGGCGGAGAATTTAGAAAATAAAATAACTCACGTGAGCAATAATTCCCGCCTGGTTAGAGCCGCTCTGCGGAATCCTCGCTGTTACACACCCCCATCCTATTTCCTGACCTTTCTATGCCCACCCCCATGTCCCCTTGCCCTTTTTTCGAATCCCACAAAGGTCCCTGCGGATCTGGTGGGCCTGCACCAAGTTAGAGAACAGTCTTGTGCCCCTGCATCCCTGCCCCTTGGGAGTCTGGATCCCCGGGGAGGAGAGACGGAAAGGTGCTGAAGGGGTTAAGGTGAACCCCCCCGTGAATGTGGGGTTATTTTTTTTCGAGTCATTTATCAGATTTTACGGGGGGACCTCCAAGGGCTCTCGGTTTCCAGTGAGCGCCATCTAAACAGAGCCCAGGGCTAAAAATACAACATTTTTGTATAAATTGGACTCGGGGCCCGAGCGGCCGCCCCTATGAAAGTCCTCTTTGTGAAGACCATGGAAACAGCGGACAAATAACTCTTTATTAAAGCCACAAAAAACGCACTTTAATTATAGTTAGGCAGATCAGAGGCGGGGGTGGGGGCGAGGCGGCGGCGACCTCGGAAAATTCACAACCCAACTTTTGTGTCGAAAGAAAAGAAAAACAGAGGAAAAGACGGAAGAGGAGAGACGGAGTGAGCTGGAGCTAGGGAGACGGTCCTGCAGACAGAGCACGGGAACTCTGCTCTACGCACCCCCCCCTCCGCACCCCACTCCGCCCTGACTTCTCTTAAAGGAGCCGGAGCTGTCTACACTGGCGTCTAGGGGTGGGAGTAGCTCTCCGCTACCCTCGGGCGGGGGACAGGAGCGGGACTGCGTCCGAGGCCAGGCCCCTGCAGGCGGCGCGGGGTTCCCGGCTGGCTCCCGGTCGCGCGCCCGGCAGAGGAACATGTGGAAAAGCGATTAGGAATCCGGGTTCTGCAGTCCCTTTCACAGTGCTGGGGCGTGTGCACATCTAGATGGAGTATAGTTTCAGTGGAAGAAAGGAAAGTGAGGAGGGGGCCTCCCCGGGTGTAGGGAGCCTACTACCTCTGGGGTACCGCGACGGAGGCTGGCGGGACAAGGCGGACAGGTGGCACCCCGCCCCTTCGCTCTCGGTTCGCCCGGCAGGAGAAGGGTTAAGTCGGGCAGGGTGGCTACAGCGTAGTGGAAGGTGAGCTTGGGACGCCCAGCTCCCGCCCCCACTCACCGGGCCCCTTGGCTTCTAGGACCACGGGCTGCCGCTGTAGCTTCTCGGATCTCTGGGCTCTGCCCCGGCCCCGCGATCTCTACTCGCGCGGCCGCCGCGAAGATCCGGTTACCTGTGCCGGTCGCTGTGCCGGGTCCCGCACGCCCCTAGGAAGCGCCTTCCCGGCGCTCCAGTTCCAAACTTCAGGGCGGCAACGCCAGTCGGTCCCAGTCATTCCCAGGACAAAATGCTTCAGGAGAGTAGTGGCTCTGGGCCCGAGACTCCAACCTGCATAGGCCTCCAAGGGCCACACCGGAGCGGAGAGGAAACTCCAACCCCCATCTCTGGGGATGGCCTCCGGGCACACACTACTCGTCGCTATAAATAATCTTTGGCCTGCGGCCACCCCGCGGGGTCTCGCCAGCCCGTGGCCTGAAGCCTGGAAATATTTATTCCGAGAGGCTCGGGAGCGCGAGGGTGGGGGAGCAAACTTCTGCTCGGGGTCCAGCCGTCGGGGATACCTTTTTCCCTCCCAAAAGTCATTTGCGAAAATCAGCTTTCCGTGGACGCCCCTGCACCTTCGTTTCCTGGCATTATTTATTGTCCTCTAGGCTCCATTCTCCAGTTCTCGGGCAAAGGGAAATGGGGAAAATGGGGGGATACTTTAACTGGAGAGGGAATAGGGAGGGTTACACAGGTGGACAGAAGGGAAATAAGTAACACTTATATGATGTGAAAAACCAGAGGGAAAATGCATTAGCTCCAAAGCCCACTGAAAAATACACTTGCTACGTACACACACAGACACGTGTTTGTGTGTGTGTGTGTGTGTGTGTGTGTGTGTGTGTGTGTGTGTGTGTTGAGGAAGGCAGATGCCTTGGGTGGGGCGGGATGCTCGGGCCTCACAGGTCCTATCTGAGCCCTGACAGAGGTGTGGCGTGGTTCCCGCAGGGGTCTGGTTTCCAGTCTTCGCGCCGGGAGAAGTATGGTAATGTGTTCAAGACACACTTGCTGGGGCGGCCGCTGATCCGGGTGACTGGTGCGGAGAACGTGCGCAAGATCCTCTTGGGAGAACACCAGCTCGTGAGCACCGAGTGGCCGCGCAGCGCACGCGTGTTGCTGGGTCCCAACACGGTGGCCAACTCCATTGGCGACATTCACCGCAACAAGCGCAAGGTAAGAGCTCAGACCCTCGTTTTAGGAGCACCTCGCTCAAGGTTAAGAAGCGCCAGGGGCCCTGGGAACGACCTAACTCGAATCTGAGCTCCCCCTTGCACACTAGGCTCCTGCACCCTTGCCCAGATGGCTTCCAGCCCCTTGGTGCCCCTCCTGGGGTTCTACCCTGACGCCGGTCGACTGCGCTCAGGGCACTATCAGGGGCAATAGGGCCTGCTACCTGTGGTTTGAACAAAGCGTGCATGAACATGCAGGGTCTGCAGTGACGAATGCCAGTCTTCAGTGAGCCACTGAAATGGAAAAGGTGGGCGGGGAGGGCAGTAGTTCACGGATCCCGGTTTCTTAAAGTTTCCAACAGTGGAATTCGGAGGACTGATGGTTCTAAAACCAAACCTGGCCCTGCAGTCGCACGTTGCATGGAGGTCGGCATGGGCGTGTGCTGGGGAGGCGGGGAAACGTTGTAGGCAGCGGCCCATCGGCCTAGCCTGGGAGAGAGGATGGGTGGGTTTAGGGCCCCACCGCTGGAGGACAGGCGGATGGGGGAAGGGCGAGGGGTGGCAGAGCAGCCCAGGCCCGCGCGGTAGATCAAAGCGCACCCACCCCCTGAAGAGGAAGAGAAAGTGGGTGTTTATCCTGTGGATTTCCCGAGCGGTTTCAAGAGACGCGCAGCAGGGCAGCCAGCGCGCTTGGAGCACGCCTCCCCGCCCCCTCCAGCGCTGAGCCACGGCTCGGCTGGGAGCGCGGGCGGCACGTGCTGTTTGAACTGCAGTAACCCGAAAGCTGAGCCGGCGGCGGGTGGGGCGCCGGCCTGGGGCTGGAAGTCGCCAGAAAGGAGGCTGCACGGCCTATCCACTCCGTTTTTTCCATTGGGTCGGAGGACTCACCAAGGTAGGGAAGGAAGAGGGGCCTCTATCCTCCCAGAGGAGTGGTGGAGCTAGGGAAAGGGAGAGAGGGCTGTGCTGTGGCGGGTAGGGCCTTTCGAAGGCAGTCCTTGTGCAAGGTGGTGTGGTCTTGGTGACTGAGGAACCCGCTGCAGCATCTCTTGTTTGCTATTCTCTGGGTCCTTCTCCGTGGCTGGCACAAGAAGCAAAATCCTTGAGGATGTGTGTTTCAAGAACTGCATAAGATTTCCAAAAGCCTCATTGGGTGCTGGAAGCTGTTAATGCAGTTTGCTGGCAAATAGAAGTTAGTTACTAAGAAGAATTACTGAGAAGAGTTAGTTACTAAGAAGCAAGAGGCTTGACCCTTGTCCTGAGAAAGTCAAACCTGGTAGGAAAAGAAGACAGAGCTCAGGACTCTTGTTCCTGAACGTCCTTCCTGCCCTCCTGCAGACATGGGCTAGTCTTCTGGGTGCAAAGCCTGGAGCGCCCCTTGTAACTAGGGCCTGTCTGGACACTGGACTGGCAGGAGCCTTGTTAGGATGTATGTGCAGGAAGTGGGGCCCAGGTGTGCTGGAGCATAGCTGGCTGAGAACTAGAAGCATCACTGTTTCCATTGTGTGGGTGACCCACCCCTTCTCTGGGAGGTCTGACCAGATGTGTGGAGAAAGAGGGTTCCTCATGGCCATGGCTGCATGAGCTCTAGGTATTAGCCCTGGCTGCCCTGGTGGTCTAGGGCCCACTGGGGTGGGGCTGCTAGAACTCCAGTCTCCCCAGTCTAACAGCATCACCTGTAGAAGCCAGGCCTCATGCTTCTTCCCCGCCTCCTCCTTTGGTACCCCTCCCCCACCTGGGGTATAGGGTCCTTCTGGTAGAGTATGCAGAGAGTCTGGCTCCCTGCCCAGGAAGGGTGGGTGGAGTCTGGCTGGGAAGGTGGAGATGAGAAGTTGTCAGATACACAGAAGTTTGGGAGTTCTGGAAGCCTCTATCCCAGCCCCACACAGTGAGCTGACCTGTTTTCTCTGTCTTTGGTGGGGCAGCATGTTAGTTTGTGCAACTTCAGCGTGTACCAGATAGATTCACCAGGGAACTTGGAGCCCGAGGACTTGGGAGACCTCCAGAGTAGGTTTCCTGCCCCTGCCCTAGAGCCTTCTGCTGAGGTTGCAGAGTCGGCTTTGGAAGTAGGGTCAAAAAGCCCTGCCTACCCATCCTGTTCCTCCCTGGATAGAGCTGAGGGTTGTGATGGAGGTCACTGCACACCTCTCAGAAATCCAGTATGTCCTGAGGTCAGAAGATGGCCCAGAGGAGGCCAGAGTCAGGAATGGGCTATAGTCACAGGATCCTGGGGGGAGCCAGCCCCCCACCACACTCTGAAAGCCCTTGGACCAATGCACAGGCTGCAGCACAGACATGCCCACCAAGCCAGGCTTGGCTCATGGGCAGGTGGGTAGCATTCCCAGCTATTGGAAGTTGTGCTGCAGCCCCAGGCGCAGGCACAGAGCCTTTGTTCTAGATGAAGTCCTTCACCCAAAAGTTACTGTAACACCAGTGAATGGGCCCAGGGGTTGCTGAGGAGGCCTGGAGGCAGGAGGGGATACCTTTGAAGGTCAGTGGGGGAGGATACTAGCTGCCAAGGTGTCAGGGAGTGGGCACCTCCCTCTGCCTGTCCTTGTGATGGGCGGTAGGCAGGGTAGATATGGGGGCCTCTGCCTCCTACTTTCCTTCCTCTGTCCTCCCAAGTGGAGAGGGGTCCAAGACTCAGCCACCCTGGAGCCCCACGTCTGCTGGCGCCTCATTCTGCCTATTTTGGAAGGCAAATATGGCCTTGGTGGGGAGAGGGGAAGCTTAGTTGGAGTCCATTCTGGCCCTAGGCCCCCCATGCCAGCCATTGTAGCCATCTTGGGCCCCCCAAGCCTAAAAGATTGGTGGGAGGCAGGGGTTTGAGGACCCTGCCACAGGATGTAGCCAGTGGGAACAAGGTCCTGCCCTGTGGCCTTAAGAATCCCCCCTCCCTATCCCTACCACTGCAGCTCTCCAAGGGGATTTTGCTGGAAGAGTGTAAGCAGCTGGGTAGCCCTTTTCCAATTAGGGCACCCCAGGAATTGCAGGCAAGTGCTGTTTCCCTTCCCCCACCAGTGCTTTGGGGTGGGTCTGTGGAAGAATCAGGATAGGTGACAAGAGAAGGGGATGTGTGGGTTGGGAGGGGGTTCTTGACCCACCCATCCAGACCAGAGGTGCTGAGTGGGGACTGCTCTGGGTGAAGCAGAGGCTGGTGGTGTTGCCAGCAACTGGGAGATGACTTGTTCTTTGGTTCCCCCTCCCCTCCTTACTGGAGTATAAAGTACACACCTTGGCGTCACCCCTGTGCTGACGGCTGCCTGCCTTCTGTTATTCTTTCCACTCTGCAGGCCGAGGCTCTGGTGGCTTGGCCTGGTGGCCTGCCTGGCCCCCACCCGGCCTGGGCAGCTGCCTCCATTTCTCCTTGGCTGAGTCACTGTTCGGGCAGTAAGTTCCCTCGGCAGCCCTGCCTGCTGCTGTGTCTGCCCATCCACTCACCCATCCACCCTCAGCTGCTGTGAGAGCTGTGGGATTTACAAAGTGATCCCCCCTTATCCCAGTGACATCACATGAGAGGCCGGAGGAGTGAGGAAGTCTGGCAGAGAGGACATTTGTAAGGACAATTATAGAAGATTAGGTCTTGACAAGCCCTGGGGGAGGGTGTCCCAGGCCCTGTGTAGTCAGCTCCCATCCACAGGGAGGGAGACAGAGAGCCCAGGAAATTGTTATTGGAGACATCCAGGGGAACCTGGGAGTGTTCTCCAAGGACACATTCACAACAGAACCTACTTCAGCCCTTCATGCAACCTCACAGGTGTGCTGGTATTGGCATTCTGGGGTCTCGCAGGACCCTCTGCCCTGACTCTCCCTGGCACTCATCCTTTGCAAAATTCATACCTGTGGCTTGATCTACAGGGTTCCGCCAGGCCTGGCTGGTTCCCAATGACTTTTGTGTGGCAATCTTGGCTTCATTTTGGGAATTCCTAGGGAAGCCCCTGTGAGAGACAAAACAGCTTGGTCACTGTGTTGTCTGTGGTCAGGGCCAGCATTCTGGGGCCAGAGCCCTTCCTTTCTTCACAGAGCCACTCCCAGGCACCTTCCCCTGTGTCCTGGGTCTGACCCTGGTGGCCAGCAGCCTCAGATCCAGCATGCCTATGTGGTCCAGGCCTCCCCTGTCCTGACAGTCACCTCTGTCTCCCAGTCCTCTGTGGTAGGTGGTGGTTTCTGGATTGCCCCAGCTTTGGGAAGTGTCTGCCTTGTTAGCTCTGGGCACAGATCCAGAGATGCAGGCCTGGGAGGCCCCGGTGTCTCTAGAGTAGCTGGGTCAGAGGCAGGCAGGGGGGGGCAGTGAACTTGGTGTCCTCTGAGCAAAGGTTACCAGGGCTGGAGTGCCTGCTACCTGCCTTTACTCGGTTTCTCATTCCAGTTGTTCTCCACCTGGGAGGTGCTTTAAGGAAATAGGGGGACATCTGGGTGGTAAGAGACATAGAAACATCTGGCTGGATCCCCCTTGAAACCAGTGGGGAAACTGAGACCCAGAGGAACAGCAAGTCAGAGGCTGATCTGGACAGGAGCCTGATCTTGCACTTCTCAGAGGCCCAGGTGGGTGTGACCATAGCTCTTGATGCTTTCCCACCTGGGGGCAAGTGTGACCCTCCTGCCTTGGAGTCCCTTGCTGAGCCCTAGCTCCCCCTGAATCTTCAGTCTGAACTATCCCAACTCTCCTGGACCCCGCAATCTGAAGAAGCAGTGATTCAGATGGCTGTCGCTAGAGGGCGCAAGGAATGCAAACGACAGGTCTTAAAAGGACATGTTCTGGTACCCTGGTCACTCCTCTTTTGTCAGTCCTGGAGTAGCCTGTGCTGGGCCCCCATAGCCCAAGTAGAGTGTGAGCATGGGATGACAGGAAATATTCACAAGGTTTGAACATTGTGGGGCTGGCTTCTGGGAAGGTTCACATCTTTTGGGGGTAAGGAATAGAAATAGGTGTTAAGACATTGTGTCCCTTGAAAGAAATCCCAGAAGCCACTTGGGTGGGCCTCACAATTTTACAGATGCAGAAACTGATACCCAGAGATGAGCATCCTGACCGTGCTACATAGTCAGCTGGGTGACGAATTCCTGTTAAAAGTCAGGTCTCTAGGCACCCAGTCTGACTTTTCCTGCTATCTTGCTGCACCTAGGTGGCTTGGCTTTGGCTGCTCCTGGTGACAGTGGCCTCTTCCATGTCCTTCCTCTATATGCCCATCTTTGGATCCCAATCTCCATCAGGCCATCTCATGTCCTTCCATGACACATGATGATACCTCTAGATTCCTAGGGGCTGACTCTGGGTTAGTGTGGTTTCGCTCTGGAACCTCTCATCCCCCTCCAGCTTCCCCTCTGTGTCTGATCATGGCTGAATTATCCTTGATTCTGAGGGCAGGGTTTCACTCTCCCTCAGGACCGCTTGACTAGCGGCTGAACCTGGAATCCCAAGGATACCAGGAAGGAGCTTAAGCACCCAGCACTACCTTCCTCATATAATGCTCTGAAGGGCTATGGCAGCTGAAGCCCTCCACTAGGAAATTCCCTAGAATCCCCCAAACTGGGCAAGATGCAAGTGACCCCAGCGACCTCCTGTCACCCTTTCTCCCTTCAGCTATCCTTTGGCTGTGGAACTGGCCCCAGCCATGTGACCCTCTGCCCCTCACTGGCCTGTTTCCCCTCCCTCTGCCCACTGGGAATTGGGGAATGAAAGTGCTATTGTGCAAAGCTGCCGGGCCACTGAAGGGCCAGCACTGTTATTTCTGCAAACCAGCCCTCCCATTAGCCATGCAGGGTGCAGGCCAGGAAAATGTTACCTTTTCCTCCTCAAGCTGACTGCAGGGGAAATTCTCACATTTACAGTTTGTGCCGTGGTTGTGTTTGAGGGGCAGGCGGGAGAGCGGCACGTGTGTGTGGTTTGCATGGGGCAGGGCGGGTGGGCGTCCTCCCCTGCACTGCCCCCTTTCTCCAACCACCTTTTCCTCCACTCTGGGTGGGGAGCACCTCCTGCTCTGGACCCTGGGGATATAAGTGAGGCCCACAGGCTGTCAATAAATAAACAGATACCCTCCCTTGCCTGGCTAGGCGGGAAGCTATGTGAAAACACTTTCATGCTGGAGTGGGGACAGGGTGCTGCCCAGTCAGTTGGGAGAGTGCAAAGCCAGGAGATGGGAACAGGGGCCCTTGGTTACTCAAGACAGTCCTAGAAGATGCTCAGAATGGAAAGGGACTCTGTTTGTCTTTGGGATCTTTCTGGATAGAAAGTGCTTACCTCCAGACCTGGCCATACAGTAGATATTTGAATGGTACAGCTCCTAAACTTCCTGAGGGCTCCACCTAATAATGGTCATCTCATAGGGGTTTATGGCGATTTGGAATTCCAGAGAGTTCTGCTTTCTGTGTAGCCTTAGGTTCTCTTGCCCTCCCACCAGCAGAGAGGGGAGACCCTCATTTTCTGTGACCAGGCACCTGCATCCCACCTCTTTGGACACTTCAGCTCTAGGTCCTGGGAGTTGGGGAAGGGGTCCCCTAACGGGAGTGCAGCCCCTCTTGTGTGGCCACACCCTAGCCTTTGTGATGCCCCAAGGATGGGAGAGCCACCCCCCAGACACAGATGGTAGAGTAAAGAAAGGACCCTTCAAGAGGGCTGTATTGGAAACCCCAGGGACCACAGTAGAAGGGGTGTGAACAGCTTGCCCCTTGACTGCAAGTCCGTCATCACCTGCCTCTGGGCCATCTAGGTCTTCTCCAAGATCTTCAGCCATGAGGCACTGGAGAGCTACCTGCCCAAGATCCAGCTGGTGATCCAGGACACGCTTCGTGCCTGGAGCAGCCAGCCCGAGGCCATCAATGTGTACCAGGAGGCACAGAGACTCACCTTCCGAATGGCTGTCCGAGTGTTGCTTGGCTTCAGCATCCCCGAGGAGGACTTGGCTCACCTCTTCGAGGTCTACCAGCAGTTTGTGGAGAATGTCTTCTCCTTGCCTGTGGACCTGCCCTTTAGTGGCTACCGGAGGGTGAGCACCCTGGGCCTGGGAGGAGATGGCACAAGAGTGCCTTTGGTCTTACGGGACAGGTGCTGGGGGCACAGGGCATGGGTACAGACAGATGAGGGGAGAGGTGGCAGTGGACCAGGTCTGGAGCTGGTGAATGATCCTGCGACTCAGAAGGATCTGCTGACAAGGATTGCTGACAAGGATTGCTGATGGCCCCCTCCCCCTAGGGCATCCAAGCTCGGCAGATCCTGCAGAAAGGGCTAGAGAAAGCCATCCGTGAGAAACTGCAGTGTACCCAGGGCAAGGACTACTCAGATGCCCTGGATATCCTTATTGAGAGCAGCAAGGAACACGGCAAGGAGATGACCATGCAAGAACTGAAGGTCAGTGGGTGGGACTCCCGTTTTTCCCTCCCTCACACAGGGAGACTGCCTGGCCACTTCCATTCCAAAGAGCTTTCTGAGCAGCAGTGGCAGTCACTGCTCCAGGACCTGAGGGAACTAAACTGGAAGCAGAGGGGCATCCTTGTCCTTGTTGAAGGATGCCAGGGGCTGCCCTGTTCTGCCCACAACAGCTGGTGACTCAGAACTGTCTGTACCCATCTTGGGGTGGTCGGGTCCCATGAGCTCCATACTGCCCACAGCCATCTCCAGTGTTCTAAATATTCAGAATATCAACCCATCGGTCTCTGAACAAGCTGCCAGTGGCTTGTTGGTGCCTCCCATTGAACCTGTCCTCAGCTGCACTCTCTCAGTTCATCCCATGGTCCCGGTAGCTCTAGGAGGCCACCCAAGGAAATATAGGCCCAGAGGGGAAGCCACTTGCTAGAGGCCAGCCCCAACCTCGGTTTGAGGCTTTTCAGACTCCTCCTTGCTCCGCTCTCCATTTCTCCAGTGGTGCTTGGTGCTCTTGTCCATCTCACTGCTTGAGTCCAGCTGGCCCTCAGTCTCCTGGCCCACCTGCAACAGGCCCTAATTAGGGGCTGATTCACTTGAGGGAGGCTTATTCACCTCCAGGCAACCTCTTGCTGAGTGTCCACAGGTTTCCCCAGGGGAGCTGGGCAGAAGCTACAGTGATTTCCTGTTTTATAAGCAAGTAGGGAAACCAGGTCCCCTTTGCTACTGTCTGAGCTGGAAGTCCACATCTGTAAAACAAAGGCCTTGGGATGAGGGGACCTGCTGGGACCTTTCTGTGGAGGGCCATGGCTTTGTATCCTGCTTCTCAGAGAACCTGGAGGGACTTCTAGGACTCACTGCAGTCCTCTCTTAGGTCCTCCTGACTGTGACCTTGGACTGCCTCCAGATCCTGCCTACTCCTCTGACCACCTAAAGGTCATCCTTCTTTGGGGGGCATAGACACCCAGTTGCCCACCATTCCCATGCACAAGCACTCTTGTGCACACAGAGCGCAGCCCCAGAGATGTGTGCTTGCTCTTCTTTGAGTCCACTGTGTTGAACAGGCTTGCTGGTGCTGGCCAGGAACCCAGCACTGGGTGAGAAGTGACTCAGCCCTCCTGGGTCACAACAGTGTTTCCCTGCTAGCTGGGGACCAGGCTTCAGCCCCCGTGATCACTATGGTACATAATGCTCAGAACAAGAGAACTGGCAGTGGAGACGAGGCAGAGTCTAGCCAGATGATCGAGAGCCCTGGGTTTGCTGGCAGCATAGGTCGTTCCATATGGCTGCTTCAGGTGGTCCAGTGCACTATCTCTCTGCACTGCAGGATGGGACCCTGGAGCTGATTTTTGCAGCCTATGCCACCACAGCCAGTGCCAGCACGTCACTGATCATGCAACTGCTGAAGCACCCGGCAGTGCTGGAGAAGCTTCGGGAGGAGTTGCGGGCCCAGGGCCTGCTTCACAGTGGTGGCTGCCCCTGCGAGGGCACCTTGCGCCTGGACACGCTCAGCGGCTTGCGCTACCTGGACTGCGTCATCAAGGAAGTCATGAGACTGTTCACGCCCATCTCGGGTGGCTATCGCACAGTGCTGCAGACCTTCGAGCTTGATGTGAGGCTGGGCTCCAGTGGTGTTGAGGGTGGGCAGCTAAACTCTAGGAGACAGTATCTGATCCCAGTAGCTTTCAGTCCTGTGGGACTCTGCCCCAAATGCAGAGTAGGATGAAGCCAACCTGGGTATCACTTGGGCTGCTGCTTATGGCCTATGTAAACAGGAGACTTGGAGTAGCATGGAGTAGTATCTTTGGTTAGAGGCAGACCTTAGACATCTGAGGGTGGGACAGGGAGGTGGTTGGCTTCTTTGCGGGTCTCATCACTCTACTCCCTATTCTATATCCCTCCAGGGTTTCCAGATCCCCAAAGGTTGGAGTGTCATGTACAGCATCCGGGACACCCACGACACTGCACCTGTGTTCAAGGATGTGAATGTGTTCGACCCTGACCGCTTCAGCCAGGCACGCAGCGAGGACAAGGATGGCCGCTTCCATTATCTCCCATTCGGTGGTGGTGTGCGGACCTGCCTGGGCAAGCATCTGGCCAAGCTGTTCCTGAAGGTGCTGGCCGTGGAGCTTGCTAGCACCAGCCGCTTTGAGCTGGCCACTCGGACCTTCCCTCGCATCACCCTGGTCCCTGTCCTGCATCCTGTAGATGGCCTCAGCGTCAAGTTCTTTGGCCTGGACTCCAACCAGAATAAGATTCTCCCTGAGACGGAGGCCATGCTGAGTGCTACGGTGTAGCCAGTGTGGCTTCATTCTGGCCTCAGCCCAGCCCAGCAGAGGGGTGGGGGACAGAGCTAGAAACCTGTGTGTGGGAGTGGCTGGATTGGAGACCAACAGTCTCCGGTGCCTGCCCTCCTCTGGCCTTTTCCCTGGTAAGCGCTCCCCAAAGCCAAAAGGACCCTGTCCTTCCTGGGCCCAGGACCCCTCCTGGCTCCTGCTCACTTGGATCTCCAGCTCCCATCACTGTACCTCCTTCTCACATAGCTCCTGGGACAGGGCCGGGATAGGGCCCGAATAGGGCTTTTATGCCCGAGACAGTGTTAGCGCCAGTCAGCTATGCTGCAGTGTGTGCTTATGGCCTTCTGAGGGGTCCTTTTCCTGCCCCCTTTGTCTTTTTGTTGGTGGTTAGGTGGTTGTGTAGGCAGGACGGAGGGAAAGATGTGGTCTTTTGGAGCACTCTTTCCCATCCCCTCTCCTGCCACTGCTTAGATGGTGTCCAGAACAGTGTCCTAGGGAATCCCATCCAAGCCACCCTGCGTGGAGTGGGAGCTGCCACCAGCCTGGAGAGTGCCCTGTACCAGTGCAGCCAGTTTGGACATTGGAAATTGCCTGTTGCTGCTATTTGTTCTCTCTTCTGACTTTGGGGTACAGGAGCCCCAGGCCTGATCCCAAGTATCTTCTTTGTCAGCCTTGGCCACACTGACAACCCACCCATTATGGGACCCACTGAGTCATGTGGCTGCTGGCTATAGTTGGGCCTGGCTATCCATCCCTGCTCCCTAGCCCATATTTATTCACTATACTGAGATCTGGAATGAATATCCCCTCCAGCCTCCACCCTCCAACCTAGCTGCTCCCCGCAGGATCTCTGAGGCAAGAAGACAGGGTCTCAGGTCTAATCCAGCTCCCTGGTGGGGGTGGATCAGCCCTCCTAGGCTCCAGGCAAATGATTTGGTTTAATCTCAGAGTCAGACACCCAGCGTTGTCGTCTGTACCACTACCACCTCCCAGTCTGTCAAAGCCCCAGGCATGTGACTCCAGAGGCAACCAGAGACAATGGCCACTTCCTGTCAGTCACTGCCTGCCCACATGCCAATTGCTTCACTGGTGAGAATGAGGAAGGGTACAGGTTCCTTCTTCCCATGGGGCTCCATATTCCCTTCCTTCACCCTCACTCTTTGCCCTTAGCCCTTGGAAAATGTCCCCAAGTCCTTACCCCTCTATGCCACTATGTGCTAAGCCCAGCTCAGGGTGTGGGGCGAAGATGAAAGCAAAGAGGTGAGATAGAGAGCCTTCCCTCTGAGCTGGCCTTGGCCCTGTGGGGTCTGGAGGTGCTGCAGGGGTTAGGGGTGCAGGGAGAATGAAAGAGGAGGAGAAAGAGGAAGACAAGGACATAAGGGAGATTTGTCAGAAGTGGTTCAGTTGCAGATGGGCCGTGGGGATGACTGGGTGGAAGAGAAGTGGTTCCCACCACTGGCAGTTTGAGTGCTGGCAACTCGGGACTCCTCCTGGGAACAGTTTGGGGACCTTTGGTGAGTCTACAGGCAATTTTGTCTGTTTTCAGATTTTTCTTTGTCCTTGGCATTTCGCCATTGCTTTTGGAAGTTACAAATGCAAAGGAGCCTTTTCACAAGAAAGTAAAAATCACAGAATGACACAGCCCACTCCAACCTTTGATGGCCACCAAGGCAGTTCCTGCTGCATGGGGGTCCAGTGGACAAACCCTGCCCACCTCTCCCTAGCAGTAGGACACACCACACGGGATGTCCTGTGATCCACGTTTCCCAAATGTTTCACTGGTGGTCTGCTTTTCCATGACAAAACCAACCAACCACCACCACCACCACCAACAACAACAACAAAATGGTAGAACAGACATTACCGGCGAAATAATTTGGGGAAAAAAAAAACCCTAAAGTAGACTCCCTCAGTCTTCCCCCCATCCTGAAACAGACCAAAATGTGTAGAGACTCATCAAAGCATGTGAAACATCTGCATACTGCCCCACAGTCTCTTACCCACAAAAAGGCCAGTGTCTGGTGAGTTGATTTTCCAGCAGGCTGACCCCACTTGCCCTGAACCAGCTGTTTCAGACTGAATCTGTGGGTTGCAGTAAGTCTGGCTCTGACAGAGGGGCTGGAGGGCCCTGGCAGGCCTCAGGGGGCCCTCCATTTTGGGGGGCCAGCCTGGGAGGGACAGAGAAGGAAAAGCTGAGTGGGATCCCCATGAGGGACAAAGGAAGGAAAAGTGTCTGCCCAGCTGGGTCTCAAAGGTAACAGGCATCCGTGGGTGTGCTGCTTCGTCTCGCCTCTGTAGATGTGTGTCTGTTCTGTGTTCGTGTGTTTCATGACAGTAGCATTAGAAGGGTGTTGTATTCTCATTTACATTCCTAACTATTGTAACTTGACATTTAAAAAAACCCCACAGAACTCTTCCTGCCACGGGCTTGCGGATCAAAGCACTTTCAAAGTTAGGCGCTGGCACACGTGTGCATTCTGGGCAACCATTTTGACCCCGCCCAGATTGTTGTGTTATTTTATACACAAAACTTTTTTTCATAAATGTTATAATTTTGTGTCTGTCTTTATAAACTATAATAAGTACTATTTTTGTTATAATTCAAATAGATATTTAGTATAAAGTTGTTGTTAAATATTTGTTATTTAGTAAAATATGAATTGTTCTCTATTGTAAACATGGTTCAAAATATTAATATGTTTTTATCACAGTTGTTTTAATATTGAAAAAGCACTTGTTTGTTTCATTTTGGTATGAACTGGTGCCGTGTGTGTGTTTTGGCTGTCATGTGGTTTTGATGTATATATAATATTCCATGTTTCATATTACAACAATGAATGCCATGCATTTTGGGATCCTGAAAATACTCAATGTGGCTCTTTATTGGCTTCCATAATAAACCGTGGGGACTCACCTGGTCTCTGTTGCCTGTCTGGTCTCTGCTCTTCAGCCTCAGAAGGCTCCCTTGGTCACCCATGTTCCTATTAGCAATGCCCGACCAAATTGTTAGGAAGTTCTAAATTGCATCCTAGACTAGCATGCACTCCTGGACACAGACTGTGGCAGGGTTCTTGGGGACAGGCTCCCTGAGGAGGAAAAATGGCATGAGTTGGCCTGGTAGAACAGGAAGCTTGGAGGCCATACCCCTACCAAGCATGGCTGTGACTAACTGTGCCAGGTGTCTCTGGGATGGACTCGCTGACCTAGAGCTCAGAAGGACTGCCTATCAGTTTGAGTGGGGATAGCTGATACCCATAGCCACATGACAGATACAGGGGCCGGTTCTTTCGTGGCCTCAGCCTCATGCCTCGGGCTGGCGCTTCTCAAAGCCTGTTTCATGGCTAGAGTCCAAAGTTAACTAAGTTCCCTTATTATAAGTCTTCTCTGAACCTTGATTCAGGATGGTGCAGCAGAGGGGCCAGTACACCATCGGGCAGTAGTGCAATGGTCATCTGACAGCTGAAACATTGTCTAGTTCTTCAACCTGGCTGTCCCTGGACCAGGGAAAGGCACAGCCTCCAGATCTCCAGATCTCTTGCTACCAAGGTCCCAAGGAGCAGGCTTATGGGTATGGTGGGGGACACTAGGAGCCAGAAGGCACTGTAGGTGTTTTGGGGATCCCTGTCTAGCATCCTAGGGTGGCCACCACCAGGCTGGCCCAAGAGAAGCTACTGTGTGGTTCCTATAGTTCTTAATGGTAGTCTGACCTAGGCTCTAACCAGAATACTATGGCCAGGCACACTGGGACACAAGGCAGCTGTGTTCACCAGCCGTCAGTGGTCCTAGGGCAGGGGGGTAGTGGACTCTGGTCACCTGTTCCTCTGCACCATGTATGCATTCTCCTCACTTTTCACCCCCTGAGTCTGGATCTAGACCCTCTGAACCCTAATTCTACCCTCCACCTCCCTCAGGGTAGAAAAGGACAGGGGTTCCCGCTGCCCCCGATATTCCATAAAAACAGAGTCCTGCCTGCAGTGGTGGCTACCTCCCTAAGGCCACAGGGAAGTGGAGGGAGGGTGGTATGAGGATGGGTGCCCTTCATGATGTACAGTGGCCTCCTGTGATTCCCATAGGCATGCCCAACCACCAGCAGCAGCAGCAGCAGCAGCAGTAAAGGGGAGGAACCGGTGGCTCAGCAGCCTGGGAAGGGTAGTGCTTTGTCAGGGTATAAATTCTGTCCACCCTGGAGGAATGGCCTCTGTGGCAGCATAGGAGGCAGATGCACAGCTTCGGGGCTGCCCTTGGCCTGATCACTCTGCCTCGGGCTGGCTGACAGACAGGTGGGCAGCTGGCTCTGCCTCTTCCATGTGGAACTAAGAGACAGTGTCATGGGCTACCTTCCCGTTTCCCTCAGCCAACTGCAGCCAGGGATCCCTCGCCTGGAAGGAGAACACAGCCACTCTGGACAGGCAAACAGGGACACTGTTTGTCTCTGGACTGCAGTGTCAGTTTGGAGCAGACTTGGAGACAGCACATTCTGTTACCTCATAGCACTTTTCCAAAACAGCCCTGGCCTTGGCTGGGCCTGGTGGCCCAGGGCATCAAGGGGCTGGGAGCCCAAGATAAGGCAGGAGAAGTGGGGCCAGCAGTGTAAAATGACCAGGGGAGGTGAGAGGCAGCAAGTTCTGCTCAGTTGGACAGGACTTGAAAGTTGGGGGGAGGAGAAAGGAGAGGAAGAAAAAGGAAGGGAAGGAGAGTGTGTGCACATCCTCTATTCCTGGCTGAGGTTCTAGGTGCTGAGAATGGCTTAGGGACAGGGATGGAGATAGCAATTTGGGGACTTAGGGTCCCACTTTCCATCTCCTACCCAGCTTTACTTATCCCAGAAGATGCTGATCTGGACTGGGGTTTGTCCTACACTGGGTCGTAGTGCCTCTTGGGCCTCCTAGGACCTTATTGCCACCTCTTTAACCCTGGCTGCCTCTAAGACTCTCGTTCTTTTCATTGACCCCCATCCTGTAGGGGCAGGACAGAGGAGCTCAGGAAGGTTTTCTTGAAATGGGGTTCTGTGACAACACCCATAGGGCCTGGGTCTTCCATAGAGGTTCTTTGAGGCACGATGGGGTTCCTTGGCTGGCAGTAGCCACATGGCCAGAGTGCTGGCCCACCTAGAGCTACAGGCTCCGGGGAGAGCACAGGGTACTCTAGGAAGCTGGAGTGCTGTTCTGTACTCATAGATGCCTTCCTTGTTTAGCTTGCTTAGACTTTCCTTCTTGAAGATTCCTCCCCCATGACTCAGGCTTAGGTTTCTTGAGTGAAATGTTAGGTAGGTAGGTAGGAAGTGTGACTGGTGGCCCTGGTATGTACACTGGGGTCCTCACTCTGGGCCAATAATTGTAGAAGCCCTAGGGCTACTTTCTGAAAGGACCCTGGTTGGACCAATTTGAATCACATAACAACCCTTGACCAGGAAGCCAATGTCCTCTGATTGGTCCCCTAGGGTGGCTCAGGTAGTACATGATACACAGCCCAAGGCAGAAATTGGAGAGCACTGTCTAGGCCTTTGCACTTTGGCCATCTGGAGCTCTGACTCCTCCCTCAGCTCAATGGTCATCAGCAGAATTCAAGTCCCAAGTGCTAGACAACAGGCCTAGTCCTAAAGGTCACCTGCTGGCCTACCACAGGGTGCTTTGAGGAAGCTATGTGCTGCTTCTGGGCAAACAGAGGCTCTCTGGTTTCTCTGACCACAGGACCTCTGCTTAGGTCAAGGCCTTAGGGACATCCTGACTTCCCTCTCCTTCCTTCCCCTTCCTCTTCCCCTTCCCTTCCCTTCTCTTCCTTTCCCTCCATTCTTTCCTTTCCTCTCCCCTCCCCTCCCCTCCCCTCCCCTCCCCTGTCTTTTTCCCCCACCTTCTCTTTTGTTTTCCTTCCTTATCTTCCTTCCCTTTCATTCTATTCCCCTCCCTCCCTCCATCCCTCCCTCCCTCCCTTCTTCCCTCCCTCTCTCCCTTCCTATTTCTTTCTTGTTCCTCTCTTTTTCTATCACCTATTAGCTTAAAGTCAACTGACTGTAGAACTTAATTCCCATGATATTTTCAACATGACCTCACCACCAGAGTGTCGTTCCATCATAATTAAGCACCTCTTTCATACCTAGAGGAAGGGGCTGCACAGGGTGTGCACGCTGGGAACCAGGAATTCTCTTGGCTGCTTCGAATTCTCTGTAACTATCTAGCACCTCCAGAACAAATCACAATGGTGTGAGCAGAATGTGCAGAGCCCAAGAGAAGGCTGGTCCAAAGATGCCTACACATGCACATACACTTACATGTACATGTACATGAAGATATAGAAGATATTTACATATAGAATTTTTTTGGTGTTGCTGGGGATCAAAACTTTAATATATGTTTACATACATGTATGATTTTAAATTTACTTATTTAATTTATTAGTGTATATGCTATTGAGTGCACATGTGGAAGTTAGAGGACAGCTCTCAGGAGTCCATTCTCTCCTCCATCATGTGGGTTTTGTGGTTTGAACTCAATTCCTAAGGCTTTGTGGCCAATGCCTTTACCCACTGAGCCTTGTCTTCAGCCCCCATATATATTTAAAGCAGGCAAAACGCAGTACACTTCTAGGGATTCATCCAGGATGAAGAGTGGGGCCACAGCCCCCATTAGGGCTCTGTGGGTAGCATCAGTTTTTCTGGATTCTGATGATGCAAGGTTGCTGTGACCTTGTGTTTACTTTTAAATTACAACAGGGCCCACGCTTGAAGAAGCAGGAGCAGATGCCAAGAGCCCTTCAGTGGACCACCGTGCATGATTTGGGAACAAGTGAAACTCAGTTAAAGCTATTTCTTGTAAATGCCAATACTGAAGAAAAACAGAGACAAGCTCATCCAATCGGAGGTAGCCTGCACATTTATAGTTATTTAAGTGGAGGTTTAACAGTGGAATAACTCAAAGAAGACACCTGCACACTACGACCAGTGTGTTTTTGTGACTTCACTTCCGAATCTTCTGAAAGGCCCTCCAAGCTCCTCCTGCCCAGCTTCTCATCTGGAGCTGCCCAATTCATGAATTTTTTTTGATGAAATAAATTCTTTACATTATATCATGCCTCAGTTTACTCTCTAGATATTATACCTTCTCCAGTAACAGGGATGCAACCCAGGGCCTTGTGCACGTAAGGCAAGCATGCTTCCTCTGAGTCACACCCCAGTCCCCAGTTCTACTCACCCTTGCATGCGTGCTCTCGTGGGATGCTGTTATCTCCTCTCTCTCTCTCTCTCTCTCTCTCTCTCTCTCTCTCTCTGACAGAACTTTTTTAAAAAGAAGAAAAAATGAGAGATTTTTCCTTAGTATGAAATAGAGGGAAAATGAATGTGTCTGGTGCTGTGTCCTTTCAAGGATCTCCACTCTGTCCCAGGCACTCATGCAGAATGCTGTGGGTGACAGACAGTCTTCAGAGAGACTGAAGTCCTCAGAGAATGGTCTGCCCAGAGTCATCCCTGGCTCTGCCATCCCCAAGGCATCAAGCCCAGGGCCATCTGGAGCTCCTGACCAGGAGCACCAGCAATATTGGGGCAGAGCCATTGCCCACTCACAACCAGGCCTGAATTGATTCCTGAGCTCCCAGTCTGGTCCAGACAACCTTATAGAGCAGGGTATCTCAACCTGGGACCCAGGGTAGCTTCATGAGGCCTTCGCACCCCTCAGAGTGAACTGACATCTTTAATATAGTCGTCTTCCTGGAGGAGACAGCTTCCATCTTCCACAGCTCCTCAAAAGGCCCCTGGTGCCTACAGAAGTTCAGACACAAGGCTCTATGCTTGGTCAATAACAGCATAATAGTGAGAGATCTTTGTGTGCTCCCTCTTGCGCTCATGCGTTCATGAATGTGTACGTGAGGAGGTCATCTTCAAGTATCATCCACCTTGCTTTTTTTTTTTTTTGTCTT